CCTCCCCGCCCCCCCCGTCCTGCCCCCCCCCCCCCGCCACCCCCCCTGCCACAACGGCTGGGCTGGGAGGTCCCTCTGCAGCCTCCTGCCCACAGAGAGCTTCTCAGCTATCCCGGGACATGACAATGAAGTGGTGTATTTGTATACAGGCTCGCAGTGAGGGAGGGAGCCAGAGCATGCAAGGACAGGACCGAGATAAGATACGGTCTCCCAGCAAAGCCAGGGTAGAAGGACGGGAGCACCAGCGAGGCAAGCCCCGAAAGTGCCACTGACCCTGAGCCACTGCTCTGCCTGGTCTTTACTCTGCAGCCCCAGCACGATGACGTCGGCACTCATGGGTATGATCTTCAGCTTGTGCTCCTTCTTCCTCACTTGCTTTTCCTTGTGAATGACAGTGCAGCCCAGCAAGTTCACGTCGAGCTGAGGGCTGTGGTCTTTGGAGCTCTTGTAGCACTGGGGAAGGAAGACGGGAGAGCAGGTAAGAGGCTGAGGAGGAGCCTTCCCTCTCGCTTGCTGGCGTGAACTCAGCCCTACATGTGGCTCAGTGCAACTACATGCATTAAGTGCACTGAACACAAGAAGGTCCCACAGGTCCTATGAGGCTGTTATGTTCACACAGGACCTATCTATATGTATATACACATACATCTCTGTACCTGCATATACTGTCTGAAATACCTCTCGCAGATACTGCTACAGGGTGAAGAATGCAGACTGCCAGTGGGATAAGCAACCTTTCTGCTCAACCACCTCAGAAAATTTTCCCAAATGTTTATGCATTTTGGGGATTTGCGATTTTGGCCACAGATGTGCCCTTATGTGCCCCTCAGCAGCCCCACGTCCATGTCCCTTCTGAAAATGGAGTGAGATCCCCAAGTCCCTGGGACATGGTTTTTGAAGCATTGCTTCTACTTTGTTTTTGCCAGCTAGTTAATGTACCCTGAGGTGCCACTTCCCTTCCCAGTTTGTGAAAACACGTTCTTTTGGGCACAGAGTGGAGGATATACGCACCAGCAACCTGGTGTCCTTGATAACACACAGCTGTTTTGCCCACTGTCCCAGCCACTTCTTTCTCCACAGGAACGCACAGATGCGGGCGTCCTTCATCAGCTCAATGGTGGCCTCCGTGGATGGCCACTGATGGGTTGCTGACTTGCCTTTGCTGCTCTCTTCTTCATCATAAGATTCATAGGAGCTACTAACGGCTTCACCATCTTCTATAACAAAAGCAAAGCTCCATCATTAAACACATTTCTAGGACAACTCTGAGCCTATTGCTTGCCTCAGGCATGCTCACACATGCAAAAGCTTCCAGCATAGGGATGTGTCTTTTGAGGCTCTCCTACAGGAGGATAATCAACAGGAAAATAAACCTCATAGATCCTTTTTTCTTTCTAGCCCAATATTAACCTCATTGCAACATTTTGTGCCTAATAGTCTCGGTTAGCGAACACTCAAAAGACATTCCTCAGTTAACCACAAATTTGAGAACGTTCCCTTTGACATTTTCTGATGTTTGCTACTTTTTCCCCCCCTCCCCAAGACGCTTTTTCTACTTTTCACTTCAAGCCAAACACTTACAATTTTTAAGGCAACAGCAAGCTACAATCAGCCCTTGTCCTCCGAATGTCAGAAGTAAAAATGGTATTTGCGAGGCCATGCAGCAAGCAATGATCTATTGTGTTTGAGATGTCATTCCACTTTCCCTCTCTGGGCTAAGAGGGCTCCCTCTCTACTCAGCATCTAACGGACAGCAAGGGGCTTTGAAGGAATACACTGTAGCAGCAGCAAAAATTAGTCATAAGTGGCAGCTGTAAATAACAATAATCACATTTTTCATGTTCAGCCTTAAATGGATTGCGACTTTATTGGGATGAGTTGGGATTTTCAATACCCAACTCTAATGTAATGGAGATTTTTGGATTTTTTGGCTGGTAGGAACAGCTGGGCATTGGTACCAGGCTCATCAGAAACAATGAAAACGTTCCCACTGACTGCGGAGGAATTTGCAATGCCCTGCTGGCGTTTACAGCGTGGCTCTTACTCGCAAGGTAAGCTCACACAGCAAGATGGTAAGATTGGGGCAGCATCTGTGTAGGGTTTTGCATTCCTGTCCTACCAAACAGCACGGAGGAATATTGTTACAATTCTCTCACCAGAATTTAATCTAATATTGATTCTCACCAAATCTTAAAATCCACATAAAAGTAACATTATCAAACTGGTACAAAATAAAAAGAGGAAAAGCAGCCAGAAAAGAGAAAAAAAAAATTAAAAAAAAAGCATTAGGAGCTTCACTGAAGAACATTTTTTAAGTTGGGTTTATTTGTTCTTAAAGCGAAAGGAACTGAGATGCAGTAACAAAGCTACAGCCCTACCCCCAGCGTCCTCTGGTGCAATCTCACTCTGTAACATCCCTCAAGTGACCAAAGCTACACCAATTAAACAGACTTATTAAAAAGCAAATACTCCCTTTCAAAATCTCCGAATGGTGCTGACAACACGCCACTGGCTCACCATCTCCATACCCTCAACGCGTCACGACAGGCCAACTTTTATGGGAAAATGTTACCCCGCGATGCATTGTCAATAGGCAAACCTCGTCCACAGGCAGCTGGGCAGAAATTCAGATGGAGCAGAAGTGACGAGGTTCTTTGTGCCTAGAAATACCAAAAAGCTCAACCTCTGCACTTCTAGGGACCCTTCCTTATGCAGCAGCAAGGATGGCCAGGGGTACCTCATCTTCTAGATCTCCCTCCTTTCAAGACAGGGCTATCGCCAGCTGCCCCCTTCGCCCCTTTTGGGTGTCTCTGGTGCCCCTCACCTAGGCGTCAGGCCTCAGGCTGCGCCTTCCTCCTGGGGAATAACATCTCTTCCACGCTCTCAGCAGGAGCCCTGGCTGCTCTTCTGTGCATCAACCACAACCAAGTGCCTCATCTCCTCTACATCAAGAGCTGAAGCCATTGCTGGCCCAGTGGCACTGCCATGGCCTCATGATGGAAAGGCATCTTCCAGGCTGCGTAGCTGGCAAACTGGGACAAACCTTGCTTGGGTGACTTTTGAGACAACACTGTCATCACTACTAGGGCTCACCTGATCCCAAGTCATTCAGCTCGGGCACTTCAGTACAAGGTCTCCATTTCCACCTACTGGCAGTTTCAGCTAGGAGCAGAGTCTGACCCCTCACTGAGGTGACACCAGTGGCAGCCATGTTACGGGATGTCCTTATCTAGATCCATCTCTGCTTTCCTGTTTGTTTTCCCACAACCTCCCAGGGAGCTAAATCAATACCGTGACGCAGGAAGCTCCAACCATCTCTTATGCCAGAGCAGGGCACCTTCCACATTTGCTGAAAGGCTACTTGTCAATACAGCCAGTGTTACCACATATCAGCTCCACATCAGTGGCTGGAACCAGCAGAATAAAGGCTAGGGAAGTTCTCTTCATTGTCATCTTGAGCATGCAGAAAGGCACAAAAAACGCCGCCTTGCGCATATCCAGCACAGGCCGAGAGAGGGGAGAGGTGGTTACCCTCCATGCATGCAATGGGCAATGCCAGGGGGAGGCACTTGATCGTCTTTTCTAAAACTGAGGGGTTTATGAAAAGAAGAAAAAAAGCACTTCAGGTTTGGAAAACATGCCATACCCATCGTTATTGTGGCATAAATAACGCCCTCAGTGACCTGCAACCCTGGCCTGGGTCCAGCCGCAGCAAGCCTACCAAAAAGACCTGCACAGTCAAAAGCAAAGGGAAAGGGAGACAGAGAGAGAAAGCCACAGATAAGCAAACGCGGAGAACGAGGGCGTCCGTCGGCTCAGCCCCGCGCTCCCCCTCGGCCCGGCGGTGAGGCTGCCTGGCCCCGCTGCCGGCGCAGGAGCACGCCGTACGGTGAGGCTTCGAGCAGCGACGACGAACAAGGCAATTCCCTTGAAAACAGAACCGCCGTCATCGTAATTAAAATCAGCCAGGGCAGATGAGCTGTTTCAGCCAGAATAATGATTGCTCCGTTGGCAGCCACACTGCCCCTTTCGTTTTCACTCTGTTTCTTATCGCATCCCTTCAATTATGCAAATGCAGCCGAGGATGAGGATGATAACGGCTTAACACTGCTCAGCCCCGGAGGAAAGGGAAACGGCAGCATTTGCCGGAGCTGTAAAGTGAAAGGCAGAGGCGTCCCCAGCGCAGAGGCGGGAATCCTGCTGATGAAAGAGGGACCCCGAGACCCAGCGGTCTCGCCCGCCCGCTTCATCTTAATTAATTCACCCGCGGATTGTTACAGTGCCTCGCAGCCCCACCTCTGACGCTGCAGGAATCCCCGATCTCCTCAGCCCATCTGGAGGCTTGCTTTGACGCCCTGTCTTGGCAGCGGCACCCACTAATTGTAGTGATGTCCCTATTTTTGTTTGAGTTCACTACACCCACTTGTCTGGAGACGCACGAGTGTCTTCCAAGACTGGAGCTGTCACTCCGTCAGGAACACCAACACCAGCAGATCCCTGGCCCCTTCCCCACCCGGCTTGCGGGGAGAGGAGGGCGAGCACAGAGGGCTTGGGGGTTACTGGTGTTGGGCTTTCGGGTGTTTACTGGCGTTTGGGGGTTACTGGTGTCTGGGCAAACCCGCGTGTGTCCAGACTGCCCTTTAGCAACAGGGGTCACACCAAGGTGTCAAGGCAGTTGCTAGCGACGAGCGTCACTCCACGCAGGACAGGTATGGGCAACCATTGCCATCTGATAAGGCGAGGAGAGGAAAAAGGGATGGGGAGCCCCGTTCTGTACTCACTGAACCAATGGGCAAGACCGAGACCTGCAGGTTTGCCCACGTGCCACGGGATTTGAAGCCTGATCTCTTGAAGCAAACCAGAGCCCCAGCAGCTTCCCAGCACTGCTGCCTGGCCTCCCCTCTGCATGGCGTGCCACACTTCACCCTCTCCCGAATCCCGCAGCCTCCTCCTGCCACAGACCTGCTGCTCCACATCCCTCCCTGCTCCTCCCTCCTGCTCACCCCAGAGCACGGCCGCAAACACGAGGCTGCCAAAAAGCATGGGGATTCTCGGTGACACGATGCCGCCTTCCTTCTCACGCAAACCACCTCAAAAGCCATCGATATCATCGCACACCGCGTGATTTGTGTAGAAGGAAGGGACCTGCTGGGCCTGCAGAGAGGACCGCACGGCTCCTATCTCCGCTTACGGCTGCGCTGCTGCTGGGTAAAACACCGAGCTGGCTGGTCGAGCAGCCTCCCGTAGCAGCCACGGGCCACCCCGTTTTGACAGTGCTCCCACCATAACGGTGTTTTTCTCTTTTTTTGACCGTGCTTGCAGGGCTCTGATCTCTCGCTTCCTTAGGCAGCTGACTGGTCTGGATTTCCGTGGGTGTATTTGCATCTTTGAGCAGCAGGTTACCAAGGAAAAGTGGAGGTTTAAGCCGGGCGTCTGCTTATCACTCCTGCCAGCCAAGGCTCTGAACGCACCGTGAATTTACGGAGCTGCCTGGATAACACAGCCTGGGTTTCCCAGCACACGGATCCATAGCCAAGCTCCAGCTAATCTGGTGTATGCCTTTACATGCCATGGCTCCTAGCGCGTTATCCTCCTCCCCAGTATGCAGCAAGGGGAAAAAAAAATTAAAATTCCATTTATTTTACTGTGCAGGCAACTGGCAACTCCCTGCGGGGGACAAGGCTGTAGGACGGCTTCACCCCCTGGCACCCCACTTATCACAGCCCTGCCCTCAGCCAGACAGCCCAGAGCTGGCACTTCGCTGCACGTGACAGAGCTGGGGGGACCTCTCCTCCGCACCAAACAGCACCTCCCACCCCGGCCACGACGAGCCTGCACCTTCACCGCTGTAGTGAAGTTGCGGTCAAAACGGGATGGTTCAGGGAACCAGAGATCTTTCTGCATCTCCCTTTTTTATTTAGCACCGCAGCTCCTGAGCCTTCATGAGCGAGTGACCCACACCGAGCCTCGGGCCGTCCAGGACAGAACGGCGAGGGCTGTTCAGATACAGCAGCCCCCGGCCACTTTGAGCACCGGCATCACTGCAGCTTCCCTGCCAGGGAGCTTCAGAGCCCGGCAGTGCACACCTGGGCTGCCGCAGACTCAGCTTCTCTCATGAACAGCTCAGATGCCACAGCCAAGGGTTTAGATCTGAATCTTTTACCCTTAACTCTCACTACTTCTCTGCTTGCCTCGACTCTCCCCGCTCAGCTCTGCCCCACGTCATCGCACCCCCTCTGCTGCAGTCGAGTCTGATGCGCTGAGGTCTGCTTCTGCGGCAGAGCGATAGAATCTCGCTCATTTGGGCTTAAACGGATTACAAAGCAATGACAAGATCAGCTCTGCTATCAGATCAGAGGAGGGCAATCTCTCGTGAAGGGCGTTCATTGAAAGAAGGATGCAGGAATACATCTTCAAAAGTAAGAATCCGGGAGCTCAGCCTGCGCGCAGCCGTCTCCTCCCGAAGGGGTGCGGAGCCCAGGGGTGACAGGTACCGGTGGCACTGCTGAGGACGCTGCTGGGAGACCCCGGCCCAGGCGGCGAGCGAGTGTGCACAGAGGGAACCCACACACCATCCCCTCGCACGAAGCATGGCTTTTTAACCAAGTTTACAGATGGCTAAACTGCCACAAGAGACATAGCTGAATAAATAGCCAATTATAAAAGCGGTTATCACATGTAACAGACCAACAGTCACGGATCTGGAGCCCCAAAGGGACAATCAGAGCACCAGGACACGAATGCAAGCCACCACAGCTTCACCACTCACTCCTTAACAGAAACCTGCCTTTGACTACAGCCTATCTTCCAGAAAACAACCCAGACAAAGAGAACCCACAATGGTTTATAATAATTTACAGTGACATTATATTAACCCAGGCATACTACTTATTTCTACAGGAAAGTTAAAAATTTGAGTAATTCAGTAGCCTTCTCTTTCCAGCTAGATCTGTAATATCAAGTGTGACCAGCATCAGAAAACAAACCTACCAATCTACCACACAAGCTGTAAGAAACGTCCGCGCTTTCATTTACTCATTCTCTTAAACCTCAAGCCCTGCACCTCCCCCACGAAACCCCCCGAGAGTCAGCGGTGATGTACCGTTCACAGAGACATCGTACGGCTCGGCCTCTTCGTAATATCCCTCCGGGGATTCGACCTTGGGGACCGGAGGTTGTTTTGTTTCGGCAATCTGCAGAACAAATAAGTAAAAGCATGATTTAAGGTAAAACCAGATACTTGAAAACAACGGGGCATCATTTTTATTAGCTCTGAAGTGCATCCTGGTGGGTGAGACCTTTCAGATGTGTACACCAGGGTTTTCACCTAAACTGGTTGAGATGACAGGGACGAAAGAGACTGCTGAGGGTTTACAGTGTACAGTTATAAAGGAGTTCTTTGAAATCACCGTATAATTGTGCCATAAATATTATTTTCTTTAATTTTGCTGAAAGCCCTGGGAAGATCAACTCATGCGTTTCCTCAAAAGCAGCAATTCTGATCCACTGGCCTTATCGTGAACTGGGACTCCTGCCTGCTGCTCTGACCCCCCCGGCTGCTCACCGTAACTGGGGCTGATCCTCTGCGCTAGCGATTATCTTAACGGGGAACCACGAGGGCGGGCGTTTGGTGCAATCCTGGCTTTACACAGAGAAGTGTGGCCTGAGCGGTCGCTGGTTGTGTCTCCAAGTCTCTGACTGACAGCAAGCCAACAGATAAAAATCTCTGCTTTAGCAACTATAACAGGAATCTTTAATTGTGCTCTGAGCAGAAAATGAAGGAAATGGATAAACAACACTGATGGAAAATAAGCCTTTGAAAGGAGTCCAAGTGTTGGAAAATCCCTGTGGTGCCTGCCAAACCCCTCCCTAAACACAAGCAAGGGCTGGCAGGAAAAACAGTGCCTTGATGCTTCAGAAATACCAACACAGGGGAAAAAAAAAGCGACGCTAAGAAACAAACTTTTTAATTTTCAAGCAATTCACATGGCTGTGGAACGTGAGCCAGCGGAGCCACAGGTCACAGTAGGATAAGCACACAGCTCACACTCCTCCCAAAACACCTGACATCCCACCTCTCCCATCACGATCCAGCAGTAGCATCCCCCCGTTCCCCGGTGAGGTGGCCCCTCTCCTCGCCCAGGTCAAACCACCCCTGGTCATCTGACATCGGTATGCTCTGCCTCACACCGCCTCAGCCGGCTTCCGACCGAGACCTGCGCAAATCCCGGGTGGGACGTTCAGTGTGCGCAGGGTAAAGCCCCGCTCCTCCCAGGAGGACAGGCAGAAGAGCGGGTCTCTCTCTGCAGAGACAGCAAAGCTGAAGGCCGTGGATCATGCATGGTCTGCATGATTGCTCCTGGTGGCCTGGAGAAGAGGGGCCAGCTGAGCACCAGCATTGCAGAGCAGTCTAAGGCTGGATCAGTCCCTTTGCAGGTCATGCCAGCACCATTAAATGCAGGTTCAAAGTTGCCCATCCTGTCCTGGATATTTCCACCAACAGGTACTGCTACTCAGAAGTAGAAACGAAGCTTTGAAGGAAAAGGTGTTCTGGCCAGCAACTGCCCACGAAGAGGAATGCCACTGAGCCCGGGAGAGCTAGGTACCCTGACCACAACGGCCAAAAGCACTCGTCTCTGCTCCCACGTGGGCAAGCTGCCCATGGCTCTGCCAACCTCACCAACTCCTCAGATGTCTTGGATGAAATCTCCCTACTATGTGGGTCTGCCAGATGCTGTGAGCAGACTCTGAGCTCGCTTTCCAGAGCCATGCAGGACGCACTGCTGGAAAACACCCACCTCCAAACACTTAAAGGTTTAGGAACTTGTCCTAATGTGTTAAATTAAAGAAATAAAAAGAAACTCAGCCACTCCAAAGCTTTACTTAATCCCTTCCCCGGCCAGGGAATGTGTCTGCAATTGCCATCTGTGGTGGCCTCCTGCATGCAGCCAGCTCACATTGTGCTACGACCATAAACAAATTGCCTACACAAAGAAACACTGTCGGTTTATTTGACACCGTCCCACAAATGTCAGGGAAGGGGCTGCTCTGTTTTGTTTCCTACAGACAATGGAAGCAAAAAGGGACTAGGTGGGACCGCACCTCAGCTGCCCCAGAAGCTATTTTT